GAGCGGTCTCCTTACAGTAACCGCAGTGGGCAGCTCCCTGCGGCACACCCTGGGGAGAGCAGCTTGTAGGTGCCACCCCACTGGGTGCGGCAGCTGTGCTCTGTCCCCACCACACTCTGGAGTTCCCTTGACTTGTTTCTTTGCCAGCCTGGCTACTTCATACGTGATTTCTGTCTCCCCGCTCCCACCGCACCCGACCCTACTAACCTGCTTCAACTCAGGGTGGCAGCAGAGAGGCACGGAATAAGGGTCGTGGACATCTTTTGGGAATTGGGGCATTTTTTAGTGTTTGGAGGACCCAAGAGATCATTCCACTCAGCGGCCGGAGGTGTCAAGTGTCTTTTTCAAAAGCTGTGTGGCTTATGGTAAGGGATGAGAGCAAATTGCTGCTCTGCAACTCAGGCAAAAGAATGTCCTCAGATTCCATTCGTCATCTGCCAGAGTCGCCTGATTTTGCATACTGCATTTAGGGATCCACGTTAGGATAAGCAGCAACAGATTTTCAGCTCTGTGCTGGCAGACCCCAGACCACTCCCTTATCCTCAGACCACGCTGACATCCCCAAGCAAGCTGATGCTCTGGGGCTGCTGAGCTTCACCGGTAGTGGGCACCAAAGACACAAGTGAATTTTAACAGTAAGCAGAGTCAGAGAGTTAGAGCCAGGAGTCGGGCGTCTCAGTCTCCACGGCTCTCTCCCTGCTGTTTCTGGAAGCGCCAGGATCTCTGAGCCTCTGGCACACCAAGTTAATAATTGTCTCCTAGATACTCACCAGGGGGATTGCTAAAGGTAATAATAGTCTCAAATGCCCCTCCTTGGGTGTGGGGGGCATGTTCTGAAGTTGCAATGCCCTGCTTTCTGCTTCCAACCCCTGGAACACCATGATTCCCACAGACAAGTGTCCAGTCAATACAACGTGTGAATGGTGCTTGACTTTTCATACAAAAGAACAGGAAGCTGCAGCACGGATAATACACAACACTGTTTGTCCAAATACATCACTGCTAGCTGCTTTTGCAGTGCCTTATGTGATTCCCGACTAGATGCATCATTTACCTTTTTGTTGCTGTTTCTCACATTCTTTGCCCATATTCTGTTGGAAGAGTGTGATCCAGGTGCTGGGATATAGGTTGGAGGGAATGCTACCAGTTTGAGATTAAACAGATCATCAGCCCACACAGGTAATTATGGGTTAGTGCTATCTGCAGCCCCTGGGCTGGGAGGGTATTAATGAGACTACTCCTGTTTTCCCCAAGAGGATAATAAACCTATAAGAACCTGGCTGGTGTCCCCTGAGCTGTGGGTGGGGTCCAGGCCTGAGTGTCCCAGCCGCCACTCCCTCTTACCTCAACTTTCCTTTTCCCGTACCACCTGGAGATCTGGTCCGGTCTGTGGTCTGGGAAAGGGATGTATTCTTTTCCGTAAATGGATTGGGGTGTCTTGTCAGTGTCTCTGGTGAACTGGAAAAGACCAAATATTCAGGAAAACCTCTGAGATGCCACTTCTCAAACTTCTGCTGGGTCCCCTTACCTCCTGGGCCATCAGAAGATGGGTCAGGAAAAGGTAAATACAAACCCCAGGACATCCTGCCCAACACAGGAAAAGAGCTTGCTCGGGGACAGGGAGCCTGCCATGTGTCACCCCTGGGAAGAGCTGTCATTGTCTCCCCTAGCCACCTTCTCATCATCCGCACCTGTGTCCTTTCTCATCTTCTCTCTCCCTGCTCTTGTCTCCATTTTGCCTCCTCCTTTTTTCTTTTCTTTTTGGACACGGAGTCTCGCTCTGTCACCAGGCTGGAGTGTACTGGAGCGATCTCGGCTCACTGCAACCTCCGCCTCCCGGGTTCAAGCGATTCTCCTCTCTCAGCCTTGGAGTAGCTGGGATTACAGGCACGCGCCGCCGTGCCCAGCTAATTTTTGTATTTTCAGCAGAGACAGGGTTTTGCCATGTTGGCCAGGACGGTCTTGATCTCTCAACCTTGTGATCCACCCGCCTCGGCCTCCCAAAGTGCTGGGATTACAGGTATGAGCCGCTGTGCCCAGTCCTCCCTTTCTTTCTCTTCTTCCTCACTCTTTCCAACTCTCTCGCTTTTTAAATTACATTTTGTTCTCTAATTAGTTTTCTTAACGTTTAATATGGTAAAATATATTCAACATAAAATTCATTTACCATTTTAGCCATTTTCAACTCTACAGTTCAGTGACATTCACACTGTTGTGCAACCATCACCACCATCCATCTCTAGAACTCTACTTACCTTGCGAAACTGAAACTCCGTGACCATTAAGCACCAACTCTCCATTCTCCTCTCCCTGCAGCCCTTGGCAACCATCATTCTACTTTCTCTGCATGACCTTGCCTGTTACAGGCACCCTATGTAAGTAGAATCATACAATTTTTGTCCTTTTGTGTCTTAGCTCACTTAGTATAATGTCTTCAAAATTCATCCATTTGATAGCATGTGTCAGAATCTTCTTCCTTTTTAAGGTCTGATTATATTCCATGGTATATTTACACATTTTGTTTATCCTTTCATCCATCAGTGGGCACTTGGGTTGCATCCACCTTATGGCTACTGTGAACAGTTACTATTAATGTGAATGTACAAATATCTTGTTGAGTCCCTGCGTTCGATTCTTTTGGGCATACAACCAGAAGCGTAATTGCCGGATCATATGGTAATTCTATGTCTAATTTTTTGGGAGAACTGCCATATTAGTTTTCCACAGTGGCAGTATCATTTAGGGTCCAAGGGTTCCCATTTCTTCATATCCTCACCAACACTTGTTATTTTCTGTTTTTTGATACTAGCCGTATTAAAGGGTGAAGTGGTATCTCATTGTAGTTTTGATTTGGACTTCCCTAATAATCAGTGAGGTTGACTATGTTTATGTGTTTATCGGCCATTTGTACATCTTCTTTGGAGAAATATCTATTCAGCTCCTTTGTCATTTTTTAATCAGGTTGCTTGTCTTTGGTTATTGTTGAGTTATAGAAGTCCTTTACATATTCTGGATATTAGCCCCTTATCAGATATGTGATTTGCAAATATTCTCTCCCACTCCACTGGTTATCATTTACTCTGTTGATAGTGTCCTTTGAGGCACAAAGTCTTTTGTTTTGATGACATCCAATTTATTATTTTTTTCTTGTGTTGCTTGTGCTTTTGGTGTCATATCAAGAAATTCTTGCTAAAGCCAATGTCATGAGACTTTTCCCCTATGTTTTCTTCTTTTTTATTTAATTTTAAAAAGAGAGAGATGGGCTCTTGCTACGTTGCCCAGGCTGGTCTTGAACTCCCTGCCTCAAGCAGTCCTCCTGCCCCAGCCTCTCAAAGTGCTGGGATTACAGGCATGAGTCATCACACCCAACCCCCTGTGTTTTCTTCTAAGAGTTTTGTAGTTTTAGGTCTTAGCCAGGTCTTTGATCCACTTTGAGTTCAGTTTTGTATATGGAATGAGGGAAGGACCTAACTTTATATTTGTACACACAGATATCCACTTTACTGAACACCATTTGTTGAAGAAATTGTCCTTTCCCCCACTGAACAGTTTTAGCATCCTCGTCAAGAGTCGTTTGATCGTATATACAAATGTTTGTTTGTAGGCTCTTTTGTTCTATAGGTCTATGTATCTGTCTGTATGCCGGTATCACACTGTCTTCATTACTGTGGCTTTTAGTAAGTTTTGAAACCAAGAAATGTGAGTCTTCCAATTTTGTTCTTTTTTTCAAGACCGTTTTGGCTATTTGGAGTCTCTTGAGATTTTATATGAATTTTAGGATGGATTTTATGTCTGCAGAAACTTTACTGAGGTTTTGATAGTGATTGCATTGAATCTGTAGATAGCTTTGTGTAGTATTGATATCTTAACAAGATGAAGTCTTCCATCCATGAACACAGGGTGTCATTCCATTTATTTATGTCCTCTTTATTTTTTCCAGCAGTGTTTTGTAGTGTTCAATGTATATAAGCCTTTCATCTCCTTGGTTAAGCCTACTCTTAAGTATTGTATTTTTTGATGTTACTGTAAATAGAATTGTTTTCTTAATTTCCTTTTCAGAGTTCACTGTTAGTGTTTACGAACACAATCAACTTTTGCATACTTTGCTTGACTCGTTTATTAGTTCTAACAGTTTGTGTGTGGGTGCATGTGTGTTTCCGATATATAAAATCATTAGGGGTTTCCTATATATAAAATCACGCCATCTGCGAAAAGAGAGATAATTTTACTTTTTCCTTTCTAATTTGGAAGCTGTTTTTTTACTTTCCTAATTTTTCTGGCTAGAACTTCCAGTACGATGTTGAATAAAAGTGGCAAAAGCTGGCATCTTTGTCTTATTCCTAATCTTAAAGGAAAAGCTTTCAATCTCTCACCATCGAGTATTATGTTAGCTGTGGGTTTTTGTTATTATGTTGAGGCAGTTTCCTTCTATGTGTAGTTTGTCGAATGCTTTTTTTTTTTTTTATAAAAAGAAGTTTAATTTTGCCCAATGCTTTTTCTACATGGTGATGATCAGGTAGTTTTTATTTCCTTCATTCTAGTATATTGATTAATTTTTATACATTAAACTTTTTTTTTTTTTTTTTTAAAGACAGAATTAGCCAAGCTGAAGTGCAGTGGTGAGATCTTGGCTCACTGAGACCTCCACCTCCTAGGTTCAAGCCATTTTCAAGCTGGGACTACAGGCACGTGCCACCATACCCAGATAATTTTTGTATTTTTTGTAGAGACGAGGTTTCATCATGTTGGCCTGGCTGGTCTCGAACTCATGACCTCAACTGATCTGCCTGCCTCAGCTTCCCAAAGTGCTGGGACTATAGGCGTGAGCCAGTATGCCCAGCCCTGAACCATTCTTGCATTCCAGGAATGAATCTCACTTGGTCATGGTGTATATAACCCTTTTAATATAATATTGAATTGGGGTTTCTACTATTTACTTGAGGATTTTTGCATCAATATTCATAAAGAATACTGGTTTGTAGTTTTCTTTTCTTGTGATGTCTTCATCTTTAGTATCAGGGTCATGCTGGCCTCATAAAATTAGTTAGAATTTATTTCCTCCTCTTCAATATTTTGGAAGCATTTGAGAAGGACTGATGTTAATTCTTTTTAAAATATATGTTAGAATTCACCACTGAAGTAATTTGGTCTTAGGCTTTCCTTTGTTGGGAGATTTTTGATTACTAATTCAATCTCTTCACTAGTTATAGATCTATTCAGATTTTCTATTTCTTTATAATTCAGTCTTGATAGATTGTGTATTTCTTGGAATTTCTCCATTTCATGGAGAATTATGTAAGTTATCCAATTGTTAGCATAAATTGTTCACAGTACTCTCTTATTATCTTTTTATGTCAGAAAAAAGTTGGTAATTATTTCACACTTTCATTTCTAATTTTAGTTACTTGCATCTCTTCTCTTTTCTTCCCTTAGTCAATATAGATAAACATTTGTAAATTTTATTGAGCTTTTCAAAAAACCAAGTTGGTTTTCTGTTTGTTTGCTTACTTGTTTGTTTAGAGATGGAGTCTCGGTCTGTCACCCAGGCTGGAGTGCAGTGGTACAATCTTAGCTCACTGAAACCTCCACCTCCCAGGTTCAAGCAATTCTCCTGCCTCAGCCTCCCTAGTAGCTGGAATTACAGGCATGCACCACAGCACCCAGCTAATTTCTGTATTTTTGGTAGAGATGGGGTTTCACCATGTTGGCCAGGCTGGTCTCGAACTCCTGACCTCAGATGATCCACCCACCTCGGCCTCCCAAAGTGCTGGGATTACAGGCATGAGCCACTGCACCCGGTCCCAACTTGGTTGTATTGATTTTTTTCTGTTGTTTTTCTATTTTCTATTTTACTTACCTCTTCTCTAAATCTTTAATTTCCTTCCTTCTGCTAGCTTTGCATTTAGTTTGTTCTTTGTTTTTCTGTTTTCTTAAAGTGTAAAGTTAGGTTAATTTGAGATATTTATTCTTTTTTAATGTGTTTACAGCTGTTAATTTCCCTCTTAACAGTACTTTCACTGCATCCCATAAGTTTTGGTATGTTGTATTTTCATTATTATTTTCTAATTTTTCTGTGATTTTTTTTCTTTACTGATTGTTTTTTTAAAACAGTGTGTTGTTTAATTTCCACATATTTGTGGATTTTTCAGTATGTCTTCTGCTACTGATCTTTAAGTTCATTTCATTTGTGATCAGAAAAGATTCCTTTTATGATTTTAATCTTTATAATTTATTAAAACTTGTTTTGTAGTCTAACATATGGCCTATCCTGGAGAATATTCCATATGTATTTGAGAAAAAAAAAAAAAACACCTATTCTGCCTTTGTTGGGTGGAGTGTCTGTCAGGTCCAATTGCTCTATAGGGTTGTTCAAGTCCTCAAGTTCCTTACTGATCTTCTGTTTTTATATCCAGTATTAAAAGTGGGATATTGAAGTACCTTACTATTAGTGTGGAGCCATCTATTTCTCCCTTCAATTCTGTCCATTTTTGCTTCATATATTTCAGAGCTCTAATATTTGGTGTATACATGTGTGTAATTATTATACCTTCTTCTTGGTGAATTGGCCCTTTCATCAATATATAATGTACCTCTTTGTCTCATAATAATTTTTAACCTAAAGCCTACTTTGTCTGATATTAGCCATACCTGCTCCCTTCTGGCAAAAAAAAAAAAAAATCTTTTTGCTTCCTTTCACTTTCAACTTACCTGTGTACTTCAATCTATAGTCAGTCTCTTGTAGGCAGCATATAGTTGGATCCTGTTTTATAAATCTCTCTGCTAATGTATGCCTTTTATTTGGAAGTTTAATCTATTTACATTTAAAAGTGATTATTGATAGGGAAGGACTTACTTTTGCCATTTTAGTATTTGTTTTCTGTATGTCTTGTAGATTTTTGTCCCTTATTTGCTCTCTTACTGTCTTCTTTTGTATTTAATTTTTGAGGGCCATATTTTGATTCCCTTATTATTTTCTTCTGTGATTATTCTGTAGGCATTTTCTCTGTGGGTACCGTGGGGATTATACACAATATCCTACAGCTATAACAACATATTTTAAATTGTGACCAACTGAAATTGCATACCAAAACTCTACTCTTTTATAGCTTTGCCTCCCTCTGCTTTATGTTATTAAAGTCACAAATTACATCTTTATATAATGCATACTCATTTACATAGATTTATAATTTTATGCCTTTGTCTTCTAAATTCTGTCAAAAATAAAGACTGGAATTACACCCCAAAATTATAATAACCCTAGCTTTTATGCTTTTCTACATATTTACCTTTACTGGACAACTTTATATTTTTGTATGGCTTCAAGTTACTGTCTAATGTCCTTTTGTTTCAACTTGAAGGATTCTCTTTAGCTTTCCTGGCAAGGTAGGTCTACTGTCAATAAACACCCTCAGTTTTTGTTTGTCTGGGAATGTTTTAACTTCTCCCTCATTTTTAAAAGACAGTTTTGTGGGATACAGAATTATCAGATAACAGTATTTTTTTTTTATCAGCACGTTAAATATATTATCCCACTGCCTTCCAGGCTCCAAGGGTTCTGCTGAGAAAATTTCCTAGTAATCTGTTTTTTTGTTTGTTTGTTTGTTTGTTTTTTGAGACAGGGCCTCACTCTCACTCTGTCACCCAGGCTAGAGTGCAGTGGCATGATTCTGGCTTACTGCAACCTCCACCTCCCAGGCTCAAGTGATCCTCCCACCTCAGTCTCCTGAGTAGCTGGGACTACAGGCATATACCACCGTGCCCAACTAATTTGTATATATTTTGTAGAGATAGGGTTTTACCATGTTGCCCAGTTGGTCTTGAACTCCTGGGCTCAAGCAGTCTACCTGCCTTATCCTCCCAAAGTGCTGAGATTCAGACATGAGCCACCTCATCTGGCCAATCCCCTAATAATCTCACTGAGGAGTCATTGTTCTTGATGAGTTACTTTTCTTCCAGTGCTCTCAAGATTCTGTCTTTGTTTTGGGTTTCCATATTTTAATTATAAAGTGTTTCAATGAGGGACTCTCTAGATTTTTCCTACCTGGAGTTCATTGAACTTCTTGGATTTGTAGATCTATGTATTTACTCAAATTTGGGAAGATTTTAGTCATTATTTTTTCAAATACTCTCGTGGCCCCTTTCTCTCTCTCTTCTCCTTATGCAATTCCCTTAATGCATATATTAATCTGCTTGATAATGTCCCATAAGTCCCTTAGGCTCTGTTCACTGCCTTTAAATTTGCTGATTCTTTCTCCTGCCTATTCAAATCTGCTGTTGAATTCTTCCATTGAATTTTTCAATTCAGTTATTGCATTTTTCAGCTCTAAAACTGGTTTGACTCCTTTTTATAATTTCAATCTCCTTTTTGATATTCTCATTTTGTTCATGTATTGTTTTCCTGATTTACTTTAGTTCTTTGTGTCCCTTACCTATTTGTCCATATTTAAGACGGTTGTTTTAAAGTATTTGACTAGTACCTTGATGCTTCTGTTCATTCAGGGAGAGTTTCTCTCACTTTATTTTCTTCCTTTGGATGGGCCTTTTTTTTTCCTGTATCTTTGTATGTCTGGTGATTTTTCATTGAAAATTGGGCATTTGAAAAGCAGCCAACTCTTCCAGTCTTTGTAGACTGGCTCTGTGCAGGGAAGACTTTTTCTAACTAGCAAGTAATGTTCTGAGTCTTGGGGTCAGCCCAACATGAAGGCTTAAAATATTCTCAAGTCTTTTCTGGTGTACATCTTGCCTGGACCTGTGTGTGTGTGTGTGTATGTGCGTGTGTGTTTTTGTGTTTTCTTAGTTCCCCTACATACACAGCTGCTTTTAAATGTTTTAATTTCCAAAAAAAGTCTCATCTCTGCTTCTTCTTCGACTTCAGATGTTCTATCGTATTCCTCTATCCACAATCTCTTGCCCTAGATATTTATAGATCTGTAATCCCCTGGCAGCTTTCACTAGCTGTGCCTGTCATTGCTTTCCATGGCTTTTCTCAGCCTGAGATCTGAACTATGCCACCTTTTCCCATCTGAGCTCCAAGTTAGAAGAAATAGAGAGCAGTCCCTCAGGCAGCCCCAGACAGGTTCAAATGTTGCTCCACTCACTCTGGATTTGAAGGAGGGAACTTGGAGCCAAGCTGCCACTTACCCTAAAATGCAGACTATGCTGTGCTGTGCTGGGGAGGTAGTGGGAAAGGACAAGTAAAAACATCATGAAATTTCCTATTCATTTTGAATGTGTCTTTTTCTTGATTGGCTATTTGACTGGGCTATGTATCTTTGACTGTTTTCCAGAGCTCCTATAATGTTTTTGTGTTTTTTTCTTTAATGTTTCTATAGGGAATGAGAACCTGGAGCTTCTTAGTCCACTACCTTGTTGACGTCACTCCAACTCCACTACTTTTATGCAATCTTCTCTAGGTGTGAGACCAGGCCATAATATCCCTGAGTACTGCATCACTCATGGGCACCTGAAGGTATTCAACCAGTCCTTCCTGCTTTTGGAACTTCTCTTGCACACACCTGCTCACCAAACAAGGTCAAGTACATTTGTAGCTGATGGTGACTGAAGGTTGTATCTGGCCAGAGAGGTGGTAATTACTAACGTTCTCCATGAAAACAGCCTTTAACCTTCCCTTCTTTTTTTTTTTTTTTTTTTTTTGAGACGGAGTCTCGCTCTGCCGCCCAGGCTCGAGTGCAGTGGCCGGATCTCAGCTCACTGCAAGCTCCGCCTCCCAGGTTCACGCCATTCTCCTGCCTCAGCCTCCCGAGTAGCTGGTTTTTTGTATTTTTTAGTAGAGACGGGGTTTCACCGTGTTAGCCAGGATGGTCTCGATCTCCTGACCTCGTGATCCGCCCGTCTCGGCCTCCCAAAGTGCTGGGATTACAGGCTTGAGCCACCGCGCCCGGCCCTAACCTTCCCTTCTTTTCCCCATACCAAAGCTGACATTTCTATTTCACTTTCTTTCCCTTGCCCACTTCCCAAGAAGACATGGGGAAGTCTAGATGTCTCTGAAAAACTTTAAGTGGCTCAGTCTTGCCAAACACAAATGAAGATATTCTATTTCAAGTATGCCAACTTGAAACTTTGCCAACTCAGGCAAAGTATTTTCCAAAGACCTTTAAAACACAAAGGAAAACCAAGAGCCAAATTGTTCTATTTGAAAGTAAAACTTGAAGCTGGGTGCGGTGGCTCATGCCTATAATCCCAGCACTTTGGGGGGCCAAAGTGGGCAGATCACTTGAGGTCAGGAGTTCAAGACCAGCTTGGCCAACATGGTGAAACCCCATCTCTACTAAAAATACCAAAAATTAGCTGGGCATGGTGGCATGCACTTGTAGTACCAGTTACTTGGGAGGCTGAGGCAGGAGAATCGCTTGAGCCTGGGAGGCGGAGGTTGCAGTGAACCAAGATCATGCCACTGCACTCTAGCCTGGGCAACAGAACGAGACTGTGTCTCAAAAAAAAAGAAAAAAAGTAAAAATTGAAATGCATTAGTAGGGCAGGATTGTGGAAAGGTGCCAGAGAGCAGCAGCAAATCCCCAGACATCAATGCAGAGAGTGGCAAGCTGGCCTCAGGAGGTACCACATTCTGGGAAAGGCCAGAATAAGGAGAGCAAGTGTTCTTCAAATCAAGTATAAAGGAATTAAGGACAGAAAATATCCAGATGCCTAGAAACACTTCACTGAGGAGAGTGCTGAGAGGCACAACTATATTGACACCCTGTTACCATATTTTCGATGTCCCTATTATATCTGTAACAGAGTGTCGATGGTCTTTTCGCTGACCAGTATAAACCAGTCATAGAAACCATGCAAAATGCATGAATATTGATGATTGCTTGAATGTAACTATCCTTTGTAGAGCACAAAGAGAACAAAGATGTATGTTACATACATGTTTTTCCATTGTGTATGTGCTCAGCTCCACTCATAAGTATAAATAGCTTCCCCCCAAACCTGCTGAATATTTAAGATGCAATCTTAATATTTTTAAGATGCAATCATCTGCTGCCCTCCATTTGAAAACAGAGATGAAATTCACTCCTGCCTCTCCCCATCGGTCCTCCCTCTGAGCCCTCTGTCCAGCCTCTCTCGTTTCCTTACCTTTCTCCTCTCTTCCACCCAATTTCCAGTGAGCACTTTCGTTGAGTACTTGGTCTCAATCTGCCAGCCTGGAGTAGAGAGTGGCTGTGGATTTACTGCAGTCAAAAACATGATAAGGATTTGCCCCAGGTTTCTTTGACTTGACACAGTTTAAGGCTTCAGGGGGAGAGGAAGGTGCTATGAAGTTGCTGAGTTTGGGGTGCCTATTTTGTCTTCCCAACTGGCCTCCTGACTGAGTAGTAGACTACTCCCTGCTAATCTCAGAGAATAAAATGGCCCCTCTACTGTTGACTGTCTCCATGGTGACAGACTCTGGGTATAAATACTCTCTGTAAGAGAACAGCTGATTCTGCAGAAGCAGAATTGACCTCACAGATACAAATCAAACCAACCACCCCCACAAAAGCACTGGCCAGAAGAACCTAGTTTCTGTGTTGTCACCACAATAGTAGTATCATCCTTGCTACACTTTTACAATTGGGGTGAGTTAAAGTCTGCAACTATTTAATGAATGTTGATGTGCTTGCTCCAAGCAAAGACATTTATATACATTTATTCACCTGCTTAATTCTCACAGCCGCCCTCTGAGGCAGATGCCATTATTATACTCATTTTACAGATGAGGACACTGAAGCAAAGAGATTAAGTAGCTGCCTAATGTCATGCAGTTGTGATGAGATTTAAATCCCATGAAGAGATTTAAATCCCCTCTGGTTCAGACCTAAACCACTGGGCTCCATTTCCTGTCTGCTACTTTGCAGGGGCTTGCACAAAGAATTCTGTCTTTGTGCTCGCACTGGTATAATATGGTTCATTCACTCAGTCTTCATTCATTCATTCCACAATCATTTCATATTCTATGGCAGGTGCTTAGCTACAGCTGCAATGCATTAGCAATTAGACCTGGGCACCATCCCCACAGAGCTCAGTCCAATGAGATAAAGGCCTTTATCTTGCTCATTCATTAGGCAAAAAAAAATTAAAAAGCACCAAGATATCCATCAACAGAGGGCTGGTTGAATAAATTGTAGTTCATCCATATGATGAAATCCTCTGCAAGGGTTTTAATGGTTGACTTAGGAAGATGTCTATAACATGTGGTTAAGCTAAGTAAACAAAACTCTGTGTGCTACAGTATCGCTTGCTAAAAATGAAGAGGCTGGATTTCAGTAGGCATTTCAGAGAAAGTTTCCAACAGCCTTTAAACAAAAATAGAGGAAGTCCAGGAAACTACGTGTTCCATCTTGAAACTAAGCCTGTGGCAGGAAAAGACCATGAAAGATGTTCTGCAGATTAGAATAAACCTTTATTTAGCAGAGATCACAGCTGGGACAAGGCTGGCACGATCTCGGCTTACTGCAAGCTCCGCCTCCCAGGTTCACTGGACAGAGGACTGGCCTTTCAAACATTCTTTTCTCATAAGTTATTGCAGACCTAAAGCCAGTTTCAGCCAGCTTATAGAGGCTGTGCACAAACTCTCTTTGTGTCCTACATTCACCTTTTGACATAAAGAGCCAAATTCCACCTGATTTAATATTAAAACGCTGCCCGCAGTTTGCAAACTGGTATCACCAATAAAGCTGTCGTGCTATTCAGCCATCCTGGTGGTCTTTTGGATGACAATCATGTACAAAACAGTCATAGCAGCCGTGGCTACATGCAACATGGGTGAATCTTAAAAACATTAACAATATTGGGGAAAAGAAACCAGACTTGAGTAAATACATACGGTAGGATTCCATTTATATGTAGTCCACAAACACACAAAGCTAAACATTATTGTTTAGGAAAGATGTATGTTACATACATGTTTTTCCATTGTGTATGTGCTCAGTTCCACTCATAAGTGTAAATAGCTTCCCCCAAACCTGCTGAATATGTATAAATACAGGCCTTGTGAAGCATGAAACCCAACCTGTCCTTCCTCTCTTGGAAGAGACAGTACTGCCGACCCATGCTGGAGACTATCTCCCTGTGCAGTCCACAAATAGGCAAAACTGAACATTATTGTTTAGGACCATACTTTGGCATTAAGCATATAAAGAAAAGCAAGGGAGTGATGGCTATAAAAGTCAAGAGAGTGGTTTCCTTTAGAGGAGGAATGGGTTGTGAGTGGGAGGAGCATGTGGAGTACTTTGGGCGTGCTGGCAATATTTTATTTCCTGATCAACTCAGTGTTTTTTGTGGGGTTTGCTATTCCATAATTCATTTATCTGTGTACATTTATTTTTAATGTACTTTTTGATGTTTGTGTTTTATGTGACAATAAAAGGTTTTAAAAACTGAAATTATACCAGGCCGCGCGGTGGCTTAACGTCTTGTAATCCCAGCACTGTTGGAGGACAAGCGTGTGGGATCATGAGATCAGGAGACGAACTCTGGCGACACAAGGAAAGCCCGCTCTACTAAAAATACAAAAAACTAGCCGCCGGGTGGTGGGCCCGCCCTGTATGGACCGCGTTAGTGGGGCTGGAAGCCCAGTTTACCTGCTCAATAAGAGCCAGGTTTGTGCTCGTCCCAAATAACAGCTCGATGAGTCACACTGGTAGCTTGACATCAGGCACAGTGGGGAATAATCGCAATTATTCCCACCGACAGGAACGGCAAGGGCTACAAAAAACCTTCAGTGCTGTTCGTTTGTTTTCTCCCAGAAAGCGAGTATCAACACTTTATTGGTTATATCACAATATTTACCATATAGAAAGAAAACAGTCGGGCAAACAGTGCTCCAATGTGTACAACCCCAGTATTTCGGGAGGCCAAATGGAGAGAATTACGTGAGCCAGGAGGCCAAGACCAGCCCTGGGCCAACGGAGAAACTAATTCCTAAAAAATATATAACAGAAAATACCAGGAAGGATGCACACCATAGCCCAAGCTACTAAGGGGCTGAAAGAATCGCAGACCCGTTGAGTCAGCAGTTCGAGGGGGCTAAGGCAGGAGCTGAGATCGTGCCCACCTGCACTCCAGCCGGGTGACGGAGAAAGACCCTGTCTCAAAAAAAAGAAACGAAAAGAATGAACAAAATGTAAATATATTTATAATTCAATAACCAAAAAAAAAGACACTATTTCATGTACATAAGTAGATTTTTTAATAAAATTAACCATTTCCAAAACAAAAATCTGAAGTACATTTTTACCATCTGTGATTTGTGCATCTGGAAAATATTTGCTTTACTCAGCTGTGTACATCTTCTTCAAACGACAACCATTTCTAAAAATCACACGTGCCTGCTGATACAGTGCTCACCTGGTAAATATCAGCACTTTATGGACCGCCTGAGGCGAGCAATCACTGAGCCCAGGAGTTCAAGATCCACCTGGGCAAAACATGATGAAACCCCACTCTACAAACAAATACCAAAAATTAGCCCAGGTGTGGATCCACACTGTATCCCAAGCACTTGGGAAAGTGAGGTAAAGAAGGAGATCCTGAGCCTAGGTCGTTGAGGCTATATAAGGCCCAGCGATTGAACCACTTACACTCTAGCCTGCCAACAAAGGTGAAAACCGCTGTCTCAAAAAAAAAAAAAAAAAAACGCATTTGCTAACATCATGTATGTTATCAATCAGAAAGCATTGAACTGTAGAAAGGTGGTCCCAAGTCACCAGTGTGGAACATATGAGTTTCCAAAATTCCTAGTTCTAGTGGAAAAAGCTCAAATTTTTAATTGCAACAATTAATCTCAGTCCGTTTCCTTGAAGTGACAGGCTTACCCTCATCATTTTCCAAGAAAACATCAAGAAAAACAAGTCATCGGGAAGGCTGCAACAGAGAACGCTTGAACCCTGGGAGCAAATTGCAGTGACCCCCAAGATTGCACCACACGCCACTCAGCCCTGCCGACAGAGCGCCGACTGGGCCGTCCAAAACAACAAACAACAAAGCAAAACAACAACAACAAAAAGAAAACATTTCAAACTTAAGTAATCATGGTTTGTCTGCAAGTAATCATGGTCTGTCAAGTAAAAACGGTGTTTCATTGAAAAAAAAAAAAAAAAAGCCCAGCTAATTAATTCAGTTCACAACTCAGTCACCCACACAAATGCTCTTTCTCAAGACAGTGCTCACCCTTGGATGTGCAACATCAGTGCCTTATTTGTATCTCCTTCCCATTTCATCACACAGAGTGCTAAAAAGGCATTTGCTCAGGGTCAAGGTTTGATCAAAGTAATAACTGATACTTCTTCATCAAAGGACATTCTTAAGTGAACTTAATTTTTTTGTTTAAACTGTAAGTATGTGGCAGTGAAGAATAAAGGATACTGATATAATTAATGGCACTGCCTTGATCCATGCACAGGTGCCAGCAATTTTACCCACAAATGCTTTTGCACCATCAAAGTCAGCACTGTGGGCCAGGCCGCGGGGGTGGTTCCAATGTAATTCCAGCACTTTGGGAGGCCGAGGTAGGTGGATCACCTGAGGTAGGAGTTCGAGAACGGCCTGGCCAACATGGTGGAAACCCGCCTCTAGTCATAATACAAAAATAGCCAGGGGTGGTGGTGCACACCTCCTCAGCTACTCAGGAGGCTGAGGCAGGAGAATGCTGGAACCGGGAGGTAGAGGTTGCAGTGAGCCAAGATCGTGCCGTGCACTCCAGCCTGGGGTAACAAGAGCAAAATTCCGTCTCAAAAAAAAAAGTCAGCACTCTAGTGAAAAGGGCAATAACATCTTAGTAGTATTTATGAAAATTGTCAGCTGGGCACAGTGGCTCACACCGTAATCCCAACACTTTGGGAGGCCAAGGTGAGCGGATCACGAGGTCAGAAGATGGAGACCATCCTGGCCAACTAGTGAAACCCCATCTCTACTAAAAATAACAAAATATTAGCCGGCATCGTGGGAGTGCCTGTAATCCCAGCTACTCGGGAGCTGAGGCAGGAGAATTGGCTTGAACCGGGAGGCAGAGGTTGCAGTGAGCCGAGATCACCACCATTGCACTCCAGCCTGGGCAACAAGAGTGAGACACCATCTCAAAAAAAAAAAAAGAAAAAGAAAAAAGAAAATTGTTTCACCCACAGGGCCCCTTGAAAGGACTTGGGACCTCCAAGCATCTGTGGATCTCACTTTGAAACCCACTGCTCTAGGGATAAATTCTAAAAGTGGAATTTGCTACACAGAGGAGTGCATATGTGCCTCCAGCTTGTACTAGATAATGCCAATTATTTCCAGAGGGTTGTATCAGCTTACATTCCCACCACAAGTGCATGGGCGTTTCCATTGCTCCACACCTTCCGGAACTTTTTCAGCATCCCAAACAGAAACTTTGTACCC